ATCCCGTTCATCCTCTAAGGGCGAATGATGAATTGGAGTGTGGTTGGTGTAGAAGGTCTTCTTGTTCTTTAGAAATTCTTTGGTATGGTTGGTATCAGCACTGCCGTCAGCATAACACTTGGCTAACAAATTGGCTTTTCCTTCATTGCTGTATTCTGTGGAATCCCTGTAACAAAGAGTTGGAATGGAAGAATTAGATTTTTTACCAAGCATTGAGTCTATTTTACCCCAGACAGATCTTAGGTATAACGAGATTTATCCCCAGGCAGCTATTTATAGCAATCAATCACACGACATTCTACTGCCAATAAGAATCACTTATGATATCAGCCCACACCTGTATCCAATATCTCTCGTCCCTTTTCCGTAATAAAGATAATGCTCTAGTAAATAATAATAATAATAATAATATAAAATAATAATAATAATAATAACACTCTTTATTTTACATGGGTCCTAGTTGTACAGTTTATGTGGGAGTCATTTGATTCTTTAGCCTGAAATTGCAATGCAGATATAAGTCCTGCCCGAAGCTAAACCAACGTTGTGTTGATGGGTTTTTCACCTTTCAGTTTCAAAGTATAAAATAGATAAGAAGCGGTGCATTATTCTGAAGTCTTTCCCTTTCGTCTCCGGATCAATCTCAATCTAAAACCACGAGCCAGATCATCTGCAATTGGAGTACATTTCGCCATACTCTGCTTAAATCCAAAGACGTTAGCCCCAATTCTTTCCCAACATAATTGCTTTTAGCCAATAAATAGTTTGTGTTTTATTCCAGACGGTGTTTAAACCTATATGAAAGATGGATCAGTCGCCTATAATTCCCAGTTACGCGATCAGCATAAACAGAAATATTTACACACAAAACGACATTGAAGATGAATTTCCCCAGAGAAGACCCGAACAGAGTTGCTGGAAATTCAAATGTTCTCCAATGTGTGTTTTGAGTTCCATCTTCTCATTTATACCAATATTACACGCAATAAGAACCTATAACCGACGTGCTGCTCTAAATGATTTTCTTGCTGGTATTTCAGTAGCTTTCGTGCACCTTCCTCAAGGTTTAGGGTTTGGACTGTTAGGTTCACTAAAACCAATTCATGGAATATATTCAACATTTTATCCAGTACTGCTGTATTTGGTATTTGGAACTTCTCCCCATGTATCTCTTGGGACTAATGCTGTACTGGCCGTGTTAACAGCTAGTGTCGTTGAACGAGAAGCCAAATTGTGGGTTGATTTGAATAACCACACTGTTATTTCTGACGAGGAAATCTTACAATACAAAGTCGGTATTTCCATGATGTTAACATTTTTCGCCGGAGCTATATTGTTACTGATGGGTCTACTAAGGCTAGGATTCCTGACCAACTATTTAGCAGTTTCATTCATTGGTGGCTTTACGACAGTATCGGCTATACACATCACTACTAGTGAAATTGGCAAAATGTTAAATATTGAGGTGAAAGCTTATTCTGGAACAGGCAAAATCATTAAAACCTTTATTGAAATATTCTCCAATATCAAAAAGACAAATATTGCAGATTTGATCATTTCTATAGTCAGTATTATTATTTTGCTAACCGTGAAAATATTTGTCAATGAAAAATACAAGGCACGTTTGAAAATTCCAATTCCAATAGATTTAATTGTTGTTGTATTATCAACAATTATTTCCTATGTTTCAAACTTCAAAGGTGTTTATGGAGTGGCAATTGTTGGAGATATACCAACCGGAATGCCACCACCTATACTTCCAAATTTTGAGTCCACACCTCGAGTAGCTAAGGACAGTTTTGTGGTAGCCATATTGATTTTTGCACTGACTATTTCAATGGCTAAACTAATGGCGAAATTGAATAACTATGAGTTGAATAATAATCAAGAATTGGTGGCTTATGGGATGAGTAACTTGTTTAGTTCGTTTTTTCAGTGTTTTCCTGCTTGTCTTTCCCCTCCACGAACAATGTTACTTAACGACTTAAATTCAAAAACTACACTCAATGCAATTACTTCTTCCATCTTTATCCTTATCGTTCTATTAGCTGCGGGGCCACTGTTCCAAGCACTTCCGGTATCAGTATTGGCGGCCATGATTGTTGTAGCCGTGAAAGACTTATTGTTGCAGTTCCGTAATCTACCAAATATTTGGCGAGCATCAAAAAGTGATTTTTTTGTTTGGGTTTTGACTGTACTTGTTGGTGTTTTAGTGGACTTAGATATTTGTATTTTGGTCGGGGTTGGGGTATCAATTTTCTCTGTAATCATTCAAAACCAATGGGCGAGAGGTTATCCTCTGGTTCAAGTACCAGAAAAGGGAATATTATTGGATAAAACATTCAGAGGTGACTTAGGTGACCAATCAGAAGTGAGAATTTTTAACTTTGAGTCACAATTGTATTTCTTGAATGCTGAAAGATTCAGAAATCTTTTACGTAACGAAATAATCTGTCCTGTCAATATACCACAAAGAAAAAGTCATTACCTGATGACGTCAAAGACTGCAATTTATATTCCTGAGGATGCGAATCTGAGCGGAGAACAGGAAGTGACTAATGACGTCATAGAAGAGGTATTAATAAGTGACAGATATCAAGATGAAATGATTCGTTTTATTATAATTAATTGTGTTAACATGACCTACATTGATATGTCGGGGGTTAATATCTTAAAACAAGTTCTATCAGAGTATGACAATGTCGGCATTCAACTACTTCTTGCCAACGTGCCCACGTACATGTTTCAAACATTAGAACAATCGGATTTTTTCAAAGTTTTTCCTCGAGAACATGTTTATTATGATGTCATTGATGCTATTGAATCATTAAAGCTATGATTGTATTTGTGTTTTGTATCATTGG